ATGTTCCCTTACATTCTCCATCGTTTTTCCATAGACCGCGTTGTTCATTAATTTATATTTATCCTTTTCAAAGTCCGACGTTGCTTGTTTTCTCTTCTCGGTGTTGAAGTCAATCCACGGTTTTAACCACTCCTTCTGTTTGAATTCTATTACCCTATTGACCTTTTTCAGTTTCAACCCTTGTTTTAAGTAATACTTTAAAATATTAATATGTAATACATAATTAGACTTATCCATAACATTTAATATTAACTTCTTCGTTTGTTCATCTTTTGGTTCCTTGTTCTGGTGGTATGACTTGTATATTTCCTTCTGACAATCGCTCAACATATTAGCATTTACATTCATTATCTGCGGTGCTAGTGGATAATCAACATGTTTATCGTGTAGTTCTTTAGGGTATTCTAAATCAACATCTAAAATATAACCTTCGTTGCCATTATCATAATTTAATATCTCCTCTTCTGTAAAGTTACTTGTATCGTTAATAAACTTGATGCCTTTGTAGGGTAGTTTCTGGCACATTGCTAAACCATATAGGTTATTAGCATCTAAATAATTAATGTAGGATGTTTCTTTACTTTCGTCGTAGTGCTCTCCCATATAGGGGTTATTTGCTTCACATTTTCTTAAGCTTGTCTGGCACATCCCACCACGCAACCCGCTTTCAACCATCTTATAGATGTCTTCATCATAAATCAGTTCTAGTTCAATGCCTGTTTTAAGTAGCATCGCATCCCAACTAAAATTAGGCAATGTTATGTAATGAGCGGGGTCTAATCCATAATCAACTAAACAAGTCTTTCTAAAGTTCTCAAAGACATCCGTTAGTAATAAAACATCAGTCTGTAAGTATAAGTCATGATACTGGCCTAGGTTTTTTATCTTAAAATGTTCCCATATCTTATTTGCTCTATCGTATTCCGATTGTTTAATCCCTTCTTCTGTTAATTTGCTGTAGAAGTCCTCTATTTTAGGTAGTGATGTTTCATTAAATCTATTAAAATCAGTAAAATAATCATAGGGATAAACTCCCTTATCCGTTAATAAATCTAAATCAGTATCATCATTTACATAAACGCTCTTCTTACTAAAATTGAATCCATTCTGCCACTCATCCCTCTTATTATTATCTTCATATTTCGTTAATTTAACTAACTTATCCAATGAAGAAGATAAGAAACTAAAACTGTCCTTAAACTCTAGATTATCAACCGTAAATGTTACAAACTTCTCGCTGTTCTGCGCTATTACGCTTATCTTGTCCTTGTTCTTATTTAGCTTCTCCATATGTGATATTATTAGGTGAGCGTCGTAGTTTTTAAGGTTGTGAAAAAATACTGGTATTTTAAAGTATTTGAAACAATAGTCTAAATTACATTTGTTGTGTGCGGCGCCTCTATATTGACCCGTAAAGTGGCAGTGGTCGGCGACTTTAGTTTTTGCTGGGTCTTTCGGGTTGAATTTGCCACCACATATAAAACAAAGTTTTTCCTTTTTGTGCTCTTCTTGTTGTCTGGTTGTCCATTGTAATTTCTTATTCTCCTTCATCTTGTCCATAATCTCTTCTTTTATTTTATTAATGGTTGAACAGAATCTATCCATACAATCTTCACCTCTGTATAAATAAGGTGTTGCTTCGTTGGTTATGCTATTAATTACATTAAGCATAAAACCGCAGGGTTTATGATGTTGATAGGTGCCCTTTATTCCTTCCGACGAAGGGGTTGTTAAACACTCAAAGTCACCATAAATAACATAAGGGCACTTAAGTTTCTTGTAATGCTTTTGGAAACTCATTTTTTCGTCTTCTTTTGGCATTACTATTTGTTGGATTTCGTGCGTCATACATCCTTTTAATAAATGATTGTTAAGTAATGACTCCTTGTTAAAACCGTGTTGGCAGTATCTACAATGAAATAGTTTTTCTCTGTGCTTGTTTGATTGTGCTCCCATTAAACGGCTGTAGTCCTTTATTAAAACATAATGGTTATTATTATCCTCTTCTAAAAGTAGTAAATTAACGTGACACGAGGGATTCTTAATTTTAGAAATTCTATTAACTACTATTGAATTGGTGCCGTTCGGGTCAATGGCATAAACATTAACTGATATTGCTCTGTCGTTTATTTCTTCAAAGGTGTCGATGTCTTCATTAGATGCTGGAAACTCTACACCTTCCCATTTTATTAAATTACCATTTTCTTTTAGTTTGTTGTAATGATACATCCTGTCGGGGTGGTCTTTCTTCATTATCTCGTAAAATCTGGATTGGACGCAGTATTTGAAACAATAGTCGTCGTCGTTCTTAATATTAATACACGCCTTTTTAGTAGCAATCCATTTAGGTAATTCAATATACTTACCCGCCCTTGTCGGGTTGTATTTGTCGTAATGGATTGTGATTTTTTCAATGTGGTCTATTTTATATCCTGATTTGTTGAGTGCTGAGTTTCCTATGAGAATTTCTATGTCTGACGCCATATTATCCACTGCGTTCTTTAATTCTTCTGGGTTGTTAATTGTATAAATTCTGCTTGTAATTTTAAAAACCGCTTGTTCTTCCATTTCTATATGTGTAAAAGCGACGTCTGTATCAATCCTAATTTTCATATTGTTGTTCTTGTCTAAAAACTCCCTTAATCTTGGTTCTTGATATTTTAAATGTGTTAGTCCTCTTGTTCCCTTTAATAATGGTGATATGTTTGAAATAGAATATGAGTTGGCATATCGTTTAAAGGCACTTGTTTCATTTGTGACCCTTGCTTTTTTACTAATAACATATTTCTTCAATGCCTTTCTAATTGCTATGCCTTTCGTTGCCGTCTTTAATATATCATATCGTTTAAAACCCTGTGTTTTGGATACTGTCCTGAGTTTCTTCTTTAATCTATTTGAAAGTGGTTTTTCTTTGTTATATGTGTATTCCTTTTCATCTATAATAACCTTGTTGAGTTCTTTGTTCCCGCGCGTTTTTATGTTGCCTATGCGACTACTTATTAGGTAGTCCATTATATGACCATAATCCGGTTCTACCATATACTATATAGTCGTTTTTTCTTTAAGTAGTTTTGGGCACGGGTTTGGGTTGGTGGGTCTGGGTTTTGGGTTTAGGGTTGAAACACGACGCTCGGGTTGGTGTTTCAAAACTACCTCCTTTAGAAATATGATTTTAAAAATTGTCGTTTTTGATTTTTTCGCTTGTTTTTGTCAGTGTTTTCCCTATGTTTTTCGTGTGTTTTGTGTGCTTTGTAGGTTTTGATTGTGATTTTTCCCTCGGATATGTGTTTTTATTCCGTCCTCTATAATCAGTATTTTCAAAATTGATGTGTTTATTTGTTTCGCTTGTTTTTGTCAGTGTTTCCCATGTTTTTTCGGGCGTTTTTGCTTTCTTGTTGGTTTTGGTTGTGATTTTTCCCTCGGATAGGTGTTTTTAGTCCGTCCTCTATAATCAGTATTTTCAAAATTGATGTTTTTATTTGTTTCGCTTGTTTTTGTCAGCGTTTTCCATATGTCGTCGCTCCTTCAGGGGTCAAAATCCCGAGGGTTCGGGATTGAAATCCCCGAGGTTGGGGTTTGAAATCCCCGAGGTTGGGGTTTGAAATCCCCGAGGTTGGGGTTTGGGAGGGTTTTTTAAGTGTATTTATAAGGGGAAAAGCACCTAATCCCCGAGGTTGGGGTTTGAAATCCCGAGGGTTCGGGTTTGAAATCCCGAGGGTTCGGGTTTGAAATCCCGAGGGTCGGGGTTTGACATAACAAGTGCCCCAAAATGGTTTAAAGACTACGCCCCAGTATATGGTATGGAGAATATGAACCAAGAATGTAAGCAATGCTCAAAATGTAAAAAGTCTAAAACCCTAGACAACTATAGACCTGACAGAAAACTATGTATCCAATGTTTAGAAGAAAAAGCAAGATATAGAGAGAACCACCGAGAAGAACTTAGGGAGAAAGCAAAAGAATATTATCAAGAAAATAAAGATAAGAAGAAGGAATATGATAAAGAATTTAGGAAACTAGCTATAGAATGTCCTTATTGTTTAAAGACCATTAAATTAAAAGATAAATCGAACCATGAAAAAACTAAAAGTCATGAACGTAATATATTAAACACAATCAGATACAGAGGTAGAAAGCAATTAGAGCAACCATAATATTAGTATCAAATAAAATATTATCGTTGAACCACCCATAAACCCTAGGAATAACCAAAAGTTAGGGAATGTCTAGACCACACTAAGCCCAGACTAGGCTTTATGTTAGGCTTTTCTACGAACCGCCTAACTAAAGTCAATTATAGTCTAACCCAGAGACCGAAAATAACGAATAAACCTACCAAAACCAAAAGTTAAGAATAACTACTAGGCCTAAAAATGAAAACATAACAGACTAGACAAATACTTAAATTAAATTATTACTCCTAGGGTGAAGCACTAAAACGAATGAGGAAGCAAACCCAGACGAAACGAATGAGACACCCCTAAGAAAAAACGAATAAGACGACCACAGCAAGAAACCAGACCCCAGAGAGCAAGAAATGAAAACGCAACAGCAACAAAGAATGAGAAAAGATAGGTGACAATGATGAAAGACAAAGAATGAAGCAGACACAGCAACACCTAACCCTACTGACCCGAGAATCCCCCTTTTTACTATTTTTTCCCCTTCCCCCCCCCTCGTTTAGGGTTTAGGGTCAAACTTCCCCCGGTAGATGCCTCCCCACCCCTCGTCCCTCCCCCAAAAACAGCACCAAAGGAACCACAGACACACACAGCCTAGAAGAATGAACAATGAAAGAAGTAACTCGTAACAGTAAAAGCAAACAAAAGCTACCTAGTCTGGGCCTTTAAACCTTCTGAGATGAAACATGTTCCTAAGTATGATCCTCTTAAACCCAATACGCGAGAATATACAAGTACTCAAAGGCCTACATATCTAGGGAGCCCGAACCCCTAAACCCTAAACCCTAAACCCTACAAAGCAACTTGGGGTCGAGGGACGTGGCTGCGGAAGGCGCGGGAGTGACGCGCTCGGGCGGTGGCCCTGGAGGATGGGTTTAGGGTTTAGGGTTTAGGGTTTATGGTTTCGGGTTTAGGGTTCAGGGCATAGAGGCTTATGGCATAGGTTTAGGGTTCAACGGAAGGCGATGATGCCCAGAGTTTAGGGGTAGGGTTTTAGAGTTTGGGGGTTTTGGGGTTTAGAGGTGTAGGGTTCTGGGGTTTTGGGGTTTTGGGGTTTAGGGTTTGGGGGTTTAGGGGTTTAGGGGTAGGGTTTAGAGGTTTGGGGCCTGGGGTTGAGGGGTTTAGGGGTAGGGTTTACAGGTTTACGGTCTGGGGTTCAGGGCTTTAGGGGTAGGGTTTAGAAGTTTAGGGTTTGGGGGTTTTGCGGTTTAGGGGTTCGGGGGATGTGGTGTAGGGACGTAGGGGTTGAGGTGTTGGGGTTTTTGGATGGTTTCGGGTTAGAGTTTGGGGTTTAGAGGTTTAGGGGGAGTTTGAGGTTTAGGGTCGGGGATTGGGGGCTTAGGGTTTTAAGGTTTGGGGTTTAGGGTTAAAGAGTTCAGGGCTCTCCAAAACACAAGACCCTCCAGACTGCCAACTCCTTGCTGGTGCTTACGGGGGCGTCCCTACACCCTAAACCCTAAATTTCAGCCCGAAACCCTGAACCCTAAACCCTAACCCCCCCCCCCCCCCCCCCCCCCGACTCCTTGTCCGATCCCCACGCCGGTATCATGTTGCAAACCCAGAGAGTCTTTAGGGTTTACTTGGAGGTTCATGGTACTTATAGTACAGTTATCATTGGTTTGTAAGAACGATGAACCTCCAAGTAGGGTTTAGGGCAGTCCAATATCCTCAGTCTTGGTAACCCAGTAAGCATAATAAGGCTACCCTTCGTTGGGGTTGGCTACTTAGAAAGGGAACCTTGAACGCAAAAAAGTGTAAAGGGTACCACTGGGTTACCAAGCAGTTAAAAGTCATACCTAAGTTCACAACAGCATACCCTTTGAGGGAGTATATAGGGTACCTCATTCTCCCATTCCCTACTAACCAACAGTACGTACAAAGCAGCGCTGCGTAGCGAGGCTGCGCAAGCGATCCAGCAAGTGTTTGGCCACCAAGGCTGCACCTCTTGTTTTGGGATCTTCCAGCTCCCTCACGTCAGGTGTGCTTGGACAGATCCTCCAGCTTTTCGCTCGGGTAGATGCCACTTTCTACTGGGTGCTGCAGCACGCTGGTTCATGCGAGTGAGGGCTTCGCTCAAGCCGGCCCGCTCAAGAATCCGCATGACCAATCTCCCGGCTCAGGGTTCTAGGGCGGCTTGAAAGAGACCATCAAGGGACTAAAGGAGGGACCCGTATAACTACTATTTGCTGAAGAACCCCCCAAAAATAGGAAATAATAATCCCTTTCTTGCCCTTATAAGGAGTATGTTGTGTTTTTTTGGGGTTCTTGAGCAATTCGTAGATAACGGACCTTAGGAGTTATTTAGGGCTACTTAGGTATGTAGGGACAATATAAGGTATATATATATATATATATATATAGGGGTTATCTGGGAAAATTGGATTAAGGGTCCCTTCTAGGGGTCCTTCCTTATACCCCTTAAGAGCAATCCTGTAAACCCAGTTGCGGTTGCAGGTTTAGTGATAGTGGGGGCTGAAAGGTTCCAGGGTAAGGTTTAGGGCTTGTTTACTGTAGGGTTCTAACTACTGCAAAGCCTAAGCCCCACATGCCCAGTCAGCTGCGCAGGAGCATCAGCAAAGCAAAAAAGGCAGCCCTTCACCACGAGCCCTAAACCCTAAACCCTAAACCCTAAACCCTAAACCCTAAACCCTAAACCCTAAACCCTAAACCCTAAACCCTAAACCCCCCCCTTCCTCTCCCCCCAAAAGGCAAAGCTTCCAAGCTTGAAACCTAAACTCTACACCTCCAAAGAATCCCAAACAACCCTGAGCCCTAAAGACCCCTAAGCCCTAAAGCCCCTGCAAAGTTCTAGACCTTAAACCCCTTTGATCAGGCCGATAGAAGCCCCATATTTGCCCCTTTAACAAGACCTTCTTGCACCCCCAAAAAACCTAAACCCTACACCCTACACCCTAAACCCTAAACCCCTGGCCTGTGCAGACGTGCTCCTCCTCCGCGGTTTGGGCCCGGGGGGCGGCACCGGTGTAAAGCCTGGGTTTAGGGTTTAGGGTTGTGGGGATTGCGGTTTAGGGTTGAGGGTTCAGGGTTTAGGGCTTAGGGTTTAGGGCTTAGGGTTTAGGGTTTCGGTTGTAGGGATTGCGGTTTAGGTTTCAGGGCTTAGGCTTAGGGTTTAGGGTGCTGTAGCTAAAGATCGAACCAAACTATACCAGATGTGCGTAGTAGCTGTTGCCATCGCCATTGCAGCATTCTTACCGTTTGCCATGGTCGTCGATCGAGAACACTATCAAAGTAACAGTAGTAACAATGACCATGAACGTCACAGCGACACGGCATAGCGAACAGATCACGGCAGCAGTGACAGACACTGGGAATAGCAGCACCACTGAGAACGAGCAACAAGATCACACAAGGGGGCACAGCAAGAACAACAGCATAAATATGACGGTGCAACAATTTAACAATGCAACAAAATAGCAGTATAACATTTGAACAAGTTTGCAATCTAGCAAAATTTACCTGTATGGCAATATGGCTTTTTAACAATATCAGCATAACAACATACACAAATGATGATCTGCCAGTACAACACCATAACCACCATAACAACGTACCATCGCAACTACATAACAGCCTAGCCACATAACCATGAAACATCACACCAGTAGAGCAATGTAACGAAATCTCGGTACAACCATATCGTGGTAACATGTTAATATCTGTAGCACAGTATAGCAGTACATCCATATAACAATACAACGGCAAACATACCTACGTAGCACGGTCTAGCTGGTCTAACCATATAACAACAAATCACTATAACAAGCTGTTAAGCACTAATACTTGCTCTTGCTCTTACTACTTCTCCTACATGTTCATTCCAACCATCATTTCGATCGCAATTACTTAGGCTAGCAATGACTGCCATCGAGCCCACAATCCTCAAATCCAGAAATGGTTTAGGGTTTAGGATTTAAGGTTTAGGGTATGGGTCAGTCCGGGGCACCCACTCATGCATAAACGGGAAGTTTTGGCCGACCATCCCGAACACTGCCCCTACTTTGGAGTAGACCCTGAAAAAAGTATATACTTTTTGGGTATAAGTAGCTATAATAGGACCCAGAAACAAAACAAGTATTACAGTGTAGTACTCCGAAACCCAGTTTCAGCACACATAGGGTTCAGGATTTACGTTTGGAGTTTGAGGTTTAGGCAACGTAGTGCAGACCTTTGGACTCTTCTCACGCCGCAACCATGTACCTCGATGATACCTACGAGCTACCTTCTACCCTACACCCTGACATCCAGGGCCCCACATCCTAAACCCTAAACCCAAAACCCTATACCCTACAAAGAGTCGTCCAGTTTAGCGAGGCCACCGTGCCACTGGGGGCTTTTCTCAGGAAGCACTTTGACCTGCAAAACAGCGGCTTAAAGGGACCAGGGTCCAGTGTTTTGGGTGTAGGTTTCGGGGGACATGACGGTACGTGACAGGGATGCTGATGTGAATTCAGGCACGTAGGAAGGGGGGCACCTTTGGCATTCATGGGGCTTCTGACTGGGCCTTAACCCGAAACCCCCAAACACTAAAGCAGGGAATAAGAATCTTTGTTGCTGAGTTCATAAGCCCCTGAAAAGTGTACACTTTCATTTTTATAGGGGGATTATAGTATCCCCAAAAAGTGTAAAGTGTACTCACTCAGCTACTGAGGAATACTACGGCATCTTCTGGGGGCTTGTGGCGTGCTCTCAGGGCTATAAGGGACCAAATTAATTCTCAATTCCCCTACCAAGAACCATGAAAACCTTGACCCTAAATTGCCAGATTCACCCCAAGGCCCCAACACCCTCAAACCAACAACCCCAGAGATCCCCACTAAACCCGAAGCCCTAAAGCGTAAAGCCCTAAACCCCAAATCCGAGACCCTGAACAATTACTTCCCTCGTACGAGCCAGCTGTTCGAGCCAAAAACCCGAAGCCCTAAGCCCAAGCCCCAAGCCCCAGGCCCCAAGCCTAAGCCCTAAGCCCTAAACTGGCTGGTTCTCAGTACAGAATGAGGGAATTAGGGTCCTATATAATTCCTTAAAGGGTAAAGAAAGGGCCCTCATTCCCTACTAAGAACCAAGCAGGAAAGTCAGCTACCATAAGCCCTGAACCCTAAACCCTAAACCTTAAACCCTAAACCCTAAACCCTGAACCCTAAACCCTAAACCCTAAACCCCCAAAAACCCCCAAAACAACTTCAAGCCAAAGAGCCATGAGGTCTTTTTGGGCCAGCTTGATGCTCACCCAGCCAGTTTTTGGTCCACTACCTGTGAGTCGCCAGAAGCCTGGGCGAAGTGAAGTGTAGGGTTTAGGGTTGGGTTTCTGTGGTTCTGGGTTGTCACTGTCCTTAGCAGATGGCTTCGCAGTGTTCGGTGCCCATCGAAGCTTCTGGGTTGGCTGTGTGGCTTCGCGTGCAAGGGGATGAGCGGTTTGGGGGCACTGTGTAACTGTGAAAACTGGCGTAAACCCTAGACCCGTGCACTACACACGGCTGAGGACGCTAAATACAGACAAGGACGGATAGCGGAGAGTTTGTGCACAGTCCAGCTTACTGACAGTTTATTATTGGCTTCTTCAAGGTATACCTTGCGATGTCAAAGCTTAGAGGCTTAGACAGATGAGGGTCCGTAGAGTGTTAGGGTAGGGTAGCTCAGGGTGGAGAAGCCCCAGCCTTCTGCGGTTCAGGGCTCAGGGTTCAAGAGACGTTTAGAGGATTGGGATTCAGGGAAGCCCAAACCCCCAAACCCCACCGAACCCTGAACTAGGTCCGAAACCCTGAGCCCGAAACCCTGAGCCCTAAGCCCTAACCCTACACCCCAGGGATCCATGAACCCGAGACCCGCAAAGCCTAAACCCTCAACCCTACACCCCACTGAACCCGGATCCCTAGACCCGAAACCCAGAAAAATTAGGTCTTAAGCCCTAAACCCTAAACCCTAAACCCTACTGCTCGGCTCTGTCGACAGGCGGCGGAGTCGGTCGCCGATGAGCTCCTGAGAAGCTCATGTTTTCGAGGCTGCTGGGGTACAAAACTCTACAGGGTTAAAATAAGGCACGGGAGAGAAGAGAGTACGAAGGGATTACATGCATGCAGTAGTAGTAAAAATACAAGTGAATACGCGTGATATTACTATTAGTGCGTACGTGTATGAACGAAGTGAGCGTTCCGTTCGTACGTGCTTACAATAAATCATTATTGCGCGCTCTCATAATATTGTTTGCATTCACTTCTCTCTACACAATATTAATACTAACGGCCCAATATTAATAGTAGACGTGCCGTGCATATTCTTCTTCTTATTATTGTTATTATGATTATTTTGTTGTATCACGCGGGCGTACTAATCATCATTTTGTGCCCGCGAGTGAATGAAGTTAATAATTTTCGTACGGGCTTACCAAAAACCACTAGTATTCGCCCGTACACTCACTTCTTTACTTTATTTCGCGCCCAAATTCTTATATTATACCTGGGCGCATTAATCGCTCTCTTCGTCTCATTCGCGGATTCATGCTTCACTTTGTTCATTGTAATCTCGTTTATTCACTCCGTTCTCTCAGTATAGTATCATTAGCTTCTCTGGGGACTGGGGACCTCTCCAAAAGGAACTAAATTACTACGTAAATGAGCGAACGCATGAAAGGTAAGGGTTTAGGGCTTAGGGCTTAGGGCTTGCCCGCAAGAATCCTAAGTCCCGGACCCTTTGGGTTTAAACCCGTGTAAGCCCAACAACTGTAACCTTCAGCCAGATTGTAGTGTGTGTCTCTGCCCTGCAGGACACTTAGAGTTTAGGGTTTAAAGCCCTAAACCCTAAACCCTAAACCCTGAGGAACCCTAACACCTTAAAGTGGGCTTTGGTGGGTTGGGTGTGTGGGCATGACGACGCTTCCTAGAACTGCTCTGGCCTTGGCCGAGCTGTCGGCCTTCAAATCCAGAACCCTTGGCCCTGCAAACTATAAACCCTAAACCCTAAAAGCCCTAAACCCTATAAACCATGAATTCTGTGAACCCTGAACCCTGTAAACCCTGAACCAAATAAACCCTAAACTCTGCAAACCCTAAGCCCTGCAAACCCTATCAAGGACCCGTTTGACCCTAGACTCTTAAAGCCTTGTGGCTATAACCTAGGGCTTGTGGCTAAGGGCTTGGGCGATATTTGGAGTAGAGGGTAGTTAAGTTAACAACCTACATAAACATTCTTTCTCCAATAGCCAGAGGATAAGGAGTTCATATTTGCAATACAACACAAGGAAGCCCAAAAAAATGTCGAAGTACGTTCCTGAGAATGAATCCCCCCGGGAAAATGTATCCCCAAACGCCTGAACCCAGCGTCGGAAAGCCTGGGACATCCTTGTTGCCTTTTACTTGCAGAGCCCAAAGCCTCGGTTTAGGGTTTAGGGTTTAGGGTTTAGGGTTTAGGGTTTAGGGTTCAGTCATAAACCCTTCTAGGATTCTCAGGATGTCTGCCAAATGACCATAAGCATAGCTATAAGCTCTGCGCTACAAGTAGGGTAGTGGGTACCTTGATGCCGTCTACACATGCGCCCTAAACCCTAAACCCTGAATCTTACACCCCAAACCCCAAACCCTAAACCCTCAACCCTACACCCCAAACCCTAAACCCTAAACCCCAAACCCTACACCCTAAACCCTTCAGCGTGTCTCCTCCTGCTCCACGAGGGATCCCGTGGCCAGGCGCTCTTCGAGCTGCTCGGACTGGAGATCTTGATCCGAGCGCACGATGATCCTGGGTTGATGAAGGAGGGGGGTAGGGTTTAGGGTTTAGGGTTTAGGGTTTAGGGTTTAGGGTTTAGGGTTTAGGGTTTAGGGTTTAGGGTTTAGGGTTTAGGGTTTAGGGTTTAGGGTTTAGGGTTTAGGGTTTAGGGTTTAGGGTTTAGGGTTTAGGGTTAGGGGGTTTTAGGGTTGTTTAGGCTTTGGGGTTTAGGGTTTGGGGTTTAGGGTTTAGGGTTTGGGGTTTGAGGTTTAGGGTTTAGGGTTTCGGGTTTGGGGTTTAGGGTTTATGGTTTGGGGTTTAGGGTTATGAAGGGGTGTGGGATTTAGGGCTTAGGGGTAAGGGTTTATACAGGGGTTGAGGGTCTAGGCTTATTTAGGGTTTGCGGTTTATGAAGGGGGCGCTACAGGGGGCGGGACGGGCTTATACAAAGGCTTCTAGATTGTTTTGCGTGTGTGTGGGGGGGGGTTACCGCGCTTGCCAAGTTTTTTAAACTTATCAAAGGGCGTTTGGTTCATGCGGGGAGCTGCGGTGCTTGTACTGGGGAAACTCTCCAACGCAAGCAGGAAGGAAGCATTGCTATGGGGCACCGCGCAACGGGAGTTTCAAGGGTTAACTGAGAGTTGGGCTTCATGGGTTTTACCAGGGAACCAATGCTGAACCCGAAACCTGAACTATATAGAGCCCTAAAGCAAGTCGATGATGCATCACGGCCGACACTACATTCCAAAAAGTTGGAATATCCATATCCCCATACCCCAGAAGGTATACTGAAGGGAACCCCAATTCCAAGACCCTAAACCACCTAAACCCTAAACCCTAAACCCTAAACCCTAAACCCTAAACCCTAAACCCTAAACCCTAAACCCTGCATTCGCAGCTAAAGGCCGCCAAGCATCCCACCTTTGCCAACGCCGCCCACCACCTCCCAGCGCAAACGCGGCCCAGTGCCATGGAATGCTAGGGTTTAGGGTTTAGGGTTTAGGGTTTCGGCTTTAGGGTTTTTTGGCCTTTATGAATAGCGCTTTGGGGTTTAGGGTTTTGGGTCTTGGTGTTAAGGCCACCACAGAACAGCTAATCTTGCATGGCTGGCTAGAATCCCTAAACCTTGAATCCTAAACCCTGAACCCTGGACCCTAAACCCTAAACCCTAAACCCCAAATCCCAAAACTTTAAAGCCTTAAGCCCTCAGAGACCAATTCTTCCAACCTCATTGAACCCTAAACACCTGAAAAGTCTCAACCCGAACCCTGTTTCAACCCTCGGCTGCAAACTCCTCAGACTCAACGTCACGCTACCGAGTACCTGAATGCAGCAAGACCCTGAAACCCTGGAACCCTGCCCCAAGCTACTGTGTAGGAACTCTTCTGAGAGGCCTACCCTAGAACACCCTCCCGCCCTCCATCTATAAAAGGGAAGCCAACCCTCAAGCAAAGAACAAAAAGGGGATCATCTAGGGGTCAAACACACACGACCCCAAACAAAAATCAACTACCCTAAGCCCGAATAGGGTGCAGGGTTTAGGGAGTTTAGGGGTTTAGGTTTAAACCCCAGAACCCCATATAAACCCCGAAACGTGACACTTTCAGACCCGGTCCTTCCACTGCTGTGCCGGCCGGCAAGTGCTCTCCTCATGTTTAGGCTTTTGTCTCGGCAGAAACCTAGGAACAAAAAGGGTGCCCATTTTGGTAGAAGGGAACCTAAACCACAACAAGAGTAATAGGTCTAAAGTATTGGGCCTTAGGCTTCATGAGTTTACGCCTTGGGGTTTATGATTTTAGGATCTTGGGCTTCAGGGTTTTAGGTCTTGAGGTTGAGGGAATCGGGTTCGTGGTCGAAGGCTTGGCGTTCAGGTTTCAGGGTTGTCTGCGGAGTTGGGACCTGAGGGAGGGTCTATAGGGTCTATAGGGTTTAGGGGCTAGGGCACATGAATCTTCTAACTTACGAGTCTAAGCCTAAGCCTGGCAGCAAGTTAGGTTTGGGCTCTTGCAGCTAAACGTTGGTGCCCTCTGCCGAGGCAAGGTGATGGACCATGATGGAGTACCCAGAGACTCCAAAACCCCTTAATTCAGCAATATACCTTAAATTATAGTAGGAACCCCAATATGATTTATGGTATATTCCTTAATTAAGGGGTTTTGGAGTCTCTGACTACTCCAACCCCTTTCCATCTCAAGCAGGCAAGGGGGACTGCACGCTGAAGCCTTCTGATGTAATGTCGGGGTTTAGGGTTAAGGAACAAGCTTCTGCTCTCTCTAAGCTCCCACAGCCACCTAACAACCCAATAAGCCAACAAGAACCATGAAACCCTAAGCCCTACAGACCCTAAACTCATGAACCCAAGCCCTCAAGTGTCGAACCCGAAACCCCTAAACGCATGAACCCTAGCTGAACCCTAGCTTTCCCTGAGCCCTAAGCCCTAAGCCCTAAACCGCAATGTTCCCTAAAGTCCTAGTAGCCCGAAGCCCTTGAAAGAAATAAAAGGAGATCTGAGCAGGCTGCTGGCCGCAGCGCTGAGATGTGAGGTGCCGGACCTTGCCATGAAACTACTGCCTGCTTAAGAAACCCCCAAAATAAGAATAAGTTACTGTTTGCTTAAGAACCTCCCCCCCCCCCCCCCACAAAAAAAGGAGACCTCCCTACAAGGGTAATGAGCGGGTTTTTGTTTTTAAAATCCAGTTTCGCGCGGGTCTTAAGCAAATAGGAAGGCGGGTGGGAAGGACTTCGTCTTTTCCGGGCTAAGGGTTTGAGGGGGTTCGTGGTTGTAGTGGTTTTCGGGTTTACACGGTTTAGGGTTCAAGGCTTTCGAGTTGTGGTTTATATTCTCCGTAATTGGGGTTTAGGGATTATACAGTGTAGGGCTTCAGGTTTTTGGGTTATGGTATCCCATTGAAATCCGGTAGCCCTTCAACAAACATGTCACACAAAGAGCCCTAAAACAATCCCGAACAACACCAGCAACTCGTCGCATGTATCTTCAAGAAACGCGACCGTGCCGGTCAGAAAACAAACCGTGAACCTCGAAACCTCTAAACCTCAAACCCAGAAACCCTGAAAGCCTAAACCCCACGAGCACCTGAGCCCCCAAACCTAACCCCCCCCCCCCCCCCCCCCCCCCCAAACAACCCCAAACCCTAAACCCCTAAGAGCCCCTAAACCCGAAACCCTGAACCCTAAACCCCAAACCCTAAACCCCAAACCCTAACCCCTAAACACCACTGGGGCGCCCTGCGCTCAACCTCCGGCCGGCCTGGGGGTGGCCGGGGCCGCAGCGGGGGTGAGACCTCGGTTGGCAGCAGCGCGCCGAGGGCGCTTTAAGGTGTTTGCTTTTAGGGTTTAGGGTTTAGGGTTTAGGGTTTCAGGCCTTAGGGCCTGTATGGGTTTCATGGGTTTCATAGGCTGTGACAGGGTTTACAAGGTTTTGGGGGCTTCGACTTCTGAAGGAAAACGCCTTGGCCCAACCCTAAAAAGCCGGTTTCGGGTTTTAGGGATAAGGGGATAACGCTCCTCAATTAGTCAGGCTTTACGCTCTTTGCTGCCCCTGCTCAGGCCAAATAACTCCAGCCTTACAACAAAATCATGAAAACCAACTAAAATACCTAGAAAATGCATGAAGCCCTGCAAACAACCCTTGGCCACCCTAAACCCTAAACCCTAAAACCTAAACCAGAAAACCTAAACCCTAAAACCTAAGTCCTAAGCCCCAAAACCTAAACCCTAAACCCCAAACCCTAGCCCCAAACCCTCAACCCTCAACCCTCAACCCTAAACCCTAAACCCTAAACCCTGGCAAAGCACAGCTGGAGGCGCCTCCGGCCCTCCCACCTCGGGGAGATCTGCCGGTCCGGACCTCTTTTGGGGCTTTCGTCCCAAGCCCTCGGGTTGGGGTTTAGAGTTTAGGGTTTAGGGCTAGGGTTTAGGGTTTAGGGTTTAGGGCTTAGGGTTTAGGAATTAGGGTTTAGGGCTAAACCCTAAACCCTAAACCCTGCTGTTTAGCGGTTTAGGGCCATAGGTACAGCTGCTCTATGCAGGGCTGCAGGTAAGGCTTGGGCTGCTTAGGGTTTGAAAGCTTGGGTGTTTAGGGTTTAGGGTTTAGGGTTTAGGGTTTAGTGTTCAGGGTTTAGGGTTTAGGGTTTAGGGTTTAAGAACCAGCGGTTTGATCAGGTTGCTGGGGCTCAGGGCTTCGGGTTTCAAGGGATGTGGAGGGCTTAGGGTGTGGAGGGATGATGAGCGTGGCGAGTGGCTCTGGGCGCTTTAAGGATTTTGAGTAGGGCTTTCGGATGTTCAGTAGGGCTTCAGGTCTGTGGGGTCCTGCTGGTTTCCTCTCACCCAGCATCTACACGGGGATCGTAGCCAAAACAATGCCAAACATGAAACAGAGGCATCCGAGCTAAGGCACTGGAGCCCCATGATTGCGGGGAAACCCTAAACCCCAAACCCTTAAACCCCCTAGCTGTAAACCCTTGCACAAAAAGCCTAACGCACACCCGACAGCGACGAAGATCTGAACAAGAGAAGGAAGACTTTAGAACCCCAAACCCTAAACCCTAAACCCTCAAACCTTAAACCCCACGCCGTTCATCCAAGGGGCGGTGCGGCCCCTGCGGCAGCTGGCTCAGCTGTGTCCCTAGAGGTCCGTCTTCGGCTGGGAATCTCCTTGGCGCACAGCCAAACAGTCGATTTTGGATTTGGAAGCCTGTAATTAAGAGAAGACACCTTAACTATAGTGAGTAATTACAAGGAGAGACCTTAAGAGAAACAAACATAGCTGCCATAGCTAAGAGAAGACCCTATTGTACGTCACCCTCCTCTCCTCTGCACACAATGAATCGCTTCGCCCTTCGGGAACGCCAAGGTGAATCGGTTCATCATGAAGGTTGCTGCGTCAGCATATGACAAGTCGTAGATTATTTTAAGCTACTCGGGGGTTTTGGAGGACCCCCATAAGGTACCCCTACACCCTAAACCCTATACACTCTAAACCCTAAACCCTAAACCCTAAACCCTCAACCCTAAACCCCAATTTCGGAAACCCCAACGCCCACTTGGCCTTTCTCTCAAGCACGAATCCTGCAAGCTCCTGGAGCTCTACACGCCACAAGCCCCCAAAAAACACCCTGAGGCCTAAACTTTTGAGAAGCCGTGGCCGCGCCCTAAACCCTAAACCCTAAACCCTAAACCCTAAACCCTAAACCCTAAAACCCCAAACCCGAAACCCGAAACCCTAAACCCAAAACCCTAACCCCTGTCCCTAAACCCTAAACCTTAAACCCGCCAAACACCGGCCAACAATCACGCCAAGGCTCTTCGTCCAGCCGGGCACGAATTCTTTCTCGCTCCGTGGCCTGCGCAGGCACGTGGGTAAGGCTAGGGAGCTTAGGGCGATTAGGGTTTAGGGTTTGTTTAGGGTCTAGGGTTTAGGGGCTTCAGGGCTTAGGGGGAGCATGATGAGGCGGCGTTCCATGGTGCCGCGTCCTTCCTCATTTTGTTTATGTCTTCCGTCCCACCTAAGAGTTTCAGCGTAAGGAGATTACGAGGTGAGAATATATTTGGTCATTTAGTCTAAAATGTGGTCCTTTTGGGCCTGAAAGGGCGGCCCCTATTATTCAGGGTACCCAAAAAGGGAGCCTAATTTATGGAACTGACCATCTAGGCTCCTGTATCAGTACTATCGTGCAACAATTCTGCGCTGGAGCCGTGGATATCGAACGAAAGACAAGGGCCAAAGCCTGAAATGTGGGCTTAGGATTAGGGTTTAGGGTTTAGATGGGTTAGAGAGGGTTTAGGGCTTTAGAGGGTTCATGGGGCGTCGAAGAGTTTGAGGAGGCAGGCTTCCAACCACCAGCCCTAAACCTGAGAGCTTAGAATCTTCAAAGAGAGCCCAGTGGTGTAGGATCTTGTCGAAACACCCCTAAGCCCTGAACCCGAAACCCGAAAACCTAAAACCCTACCAACCCTAAAACCCTAAAACAACCCCTAAAACCCTGAAACCCTAAAACCCTAAAGGCCCTCAAACCCTGCAGTGGAGAATCTCAGCGTCTCCATGGACCGAAGCTTCCGTGCACCCCACTTCGGGTTTAGGGTTTAGGGTTTAGGGCTTAGGGCTTAGGGTTTAGGGTCATCTGCGGGCTTCCCGAACTCCCTGAACCCCTAAATCTAGGGTTCCAAGTCGGGGCCCTTAATTTGGGTCCTGTGTTATATAACCCGTTTTATACATTTTATAGACTCTATATAAATGAGGAGCCATACTTCGAACCCCTACAAACAAAAGTAAGGGACCCTACTCAGGGCCCATGGTTCCAACCTTGAAAACTGAAACCCCCTAAGCCCTGAAAAGGCTAGGGATCAGGGCTATAAGGCTTAAAGGTTTTGGGTTTCCAAACACAAAAAGAATTGAGCCCTTTGAACCCCAACCAAGAACTACCCTAAACCCTAAGCCCTAAACCCTAAAACCCTAAAACCCTAAAACCTTCAAGCCCTAAAATCATAAACCCTAAACCCTAAACCCTAAACCCTAAACCCTAAACCCCATGCAGAAATAGAAGCTCTGCTCACCTCTTTGGCACGGAGGCGGAGTTTTGCATCTGCCAGCGCTTGCTGAGCCTGGACATGGCTTAGGGTTTAGGGTTTAGGGTTTAGGGTTTAGGGTTTAGGGTTTAGGGTTTAGGGTTTAGGGTTTAGGGTTTAGGGTATTGGGAATCCGCCGACCCTGGCGGCGTGTTGGTTGGGAAAAGGAGGTGAAAACCTCCCTCTTTCCCTCCTTACCCCCCCAAAACGCAGGGGGGGGGGGTAGGGGGGGGTACCCCACCAGCTTTTCCGTCGAGGAACACGCCACCCACACCGCGTAAACTCATGGCACAGGGCATTGGGGGCTCTTTTGGAAAAAACCCCTCTCCCCCCCCCCTACCCCCCCCCCCAACCCCCCCCCCCCCCACCCCCCCCCTCCTTACCCCCCCCCCCACCCCCCCCCCCCCCCCCCACCACCCCACCCCCCCCCACCCCCCCCCCCACCCCCCCCCCCCAACCCCCCCCCACCCCCCCCCCCCCCCCCCCCTACCCCCCCCCCCCCCCCCCACCACCCCCCACCCCACCCCCCCCCACCCCCCCCCCCCCCCCCCCCCCCCCCCACCCCCCCCCCAACCCCCCCCACCCCCCCCCCCCCACCCCCCCACCAACAGGAACCGCAAACAAAATCACCAAACCCCAAACCTTAAACTTGTTCTCCTGCGGGGTCGGCGGCTTGAGCCGGAGGCTCTTAAATTTCGGGGTTTTGGGGCTTTAGGGTATTTGGGGTGCTTGAGGTGTCAGGGTTCTGGGACTTCAAGGGGAGGTTGGTTTAGGGTTCAGGCCCGAAAGCTACCTATTCTCTGGTAGGTCTAGGGTTCGAGTTTAGGGTTTAGGGTTTAGGATTTAGGTTTTAGGGTTCAACCCTGAACCCTAAACCCCAAACCCCGAAACCCCAACTCCAAACCCTGTACCCCAAACCCTATACCCTGAGCCCCCAACCCTATACACAAAACCCGTACACCCTAAACCCCAAACCCCAAGCGCTGAACCCCTAACCCCAACTCTAAACCCTGTACTCCACACCCTAGCACTATACATCAAACCCCTATAAGCCAACCTAAACCCTCAACCCTATAAACAGTGAAACCCCTGCCAACATCCCAACCCATAAACCCCTGAACCCCTGAACCCCTGAACCCCTGAACCCCTGAACCCCTGAACCCCTAAACCCCTAAACCCCTAAACCCCTAAACCCCTAAACCCCTAAACCCCTAAACCCCTAAACCCCTAAACCCCTAAACCCTAAACCCCTAAAACTCTAAACCCTAAACCCCTAAAACTCTAAACCCTAAAACACTAAAGCCCTAAACCCTAAAACCCTAAACCCAAAACCCTTAATCCTAAACCCTAAACCCCTAAACCGTAAACCCCTAAACCCTACACCCTAAAAACCCCAAACCCCTAAACCCCTAAACCTCAGGCTCTGCCTCGTGCAGCGCATCGGCCAAGGTGGCCGATTCCGCTGAGAGAAACTGATGCCTTGGTGGAGCGGGGGAGGGGGGGGGGTTCAAGGTTTGTAGGGCTTAGGGTTTAGGGTTTAGGGTTCAAGGTTTGTAGGGTTTAGGGTATAGGGCATAGGGTTTAGGGTTAAGGTCTTTTGGGGTTTTGGGCTTAGATTACCCTAAGGCTTGGGGGTTTGTAGGGTTTTAGAAAATGCTTAGAGTGATATGGGAGCGCAGGTTGTGCAGGGATTTAGGGCTCACAAGGTGCATAATGAGACTTTTGTGGGGTTCTTGGGTAGATTTGACAGACGTTAAGTTAAGAGTAGGTGAAAGTTAGCTCAACCTGGCCGTGGAAATAGCTGTGGCTCCTACTGCCATACTCAGCCTATGAAGCCCTGAGCCCTAAACCAAAAACCCGAAAAGCCCGAACGCCCAAAGGTTTACGGGCTCAAGGAGATTATAGGGTTTAGGGTTTAGGATTGGAGGGAGGGGGGCGGGGGGGAAGCAGCGTCGGGGCTAAGGGTTTCAGGTAAGCTTCATGGCATTTCATGGCTGAGGGGCTTGGAAAACGCTGGGGGTTTAGCGCTTAGGGCTGCTTACGGCTGACTGATTTAGGGCTTCGAGTGTAGGCCTAAACCTAAAACCCTAAACCCTAAACCCCAAAACCCTAAACCCTAGACCCTAAACCCTAAACCCTAAGGCTCTCTGCTTTGGGATGGACAGAGCAGCCCCCAAGCCATGCCGCTGAGGTGCTGCTTCTGATCTTCCTCCTGCTCCATAGCTTGCTGCCTCGGGGGTGCAGGCGCTCTTGAACCCTAAACCCTAAACCCTAAACCCTAAACCCTAAACCCTAAACCCTAAACCCTAAACCCTAAACCTAAACCCTAAGCCCCAAACCCCAAACCCTAAACCCCCAAACACCAAGCCCTCAAGGGAGTAAAGGAGGGACCCTTATAAGTTATAAGTGACCTTAGGGGTTCTTTGGGGGTTGTTTAGGGGCTACTTAGGTCTGTGGGGACTATATAAGGTACATGACCCCTTCGACAGCATGTCCGGCCTCGCCAGCGCCCACGACAGCCTCGGATGCTGGCAAGTTTGTTTTGTTGCAGCGCCTGTTACAGGGCTTAGGCGTAAGTGTCCGTGTCCTTCGGGCTTAGGGTTTGGGGTTTGGGGTTAGGGGTTTGAGGTTTAGGGTTTAGGGGTATCGGGTTAGGGGTTTCAGGCGGTTTATTGGGTGGAGTTGGTTAGAGCCTGGCATTCTATCGAGTTGCCCAGTGTCCTGCCCACCGCGGCTCCCAGCTACATCGGGCCAGCGTTTAGGGAGGCGACGCTTGGCGGTGCAGGGTGACAACTTAGGGTTTGAGGTTTAGGGTTTAGAGCTTCTACGGTTTAGGGCTGAATTAGGGTTCAGGGTTTAAGGTTTAGGGTCTCGGGCTAAGGGGTGCTACAGGATGGAGTAACGTGCCCCCAGGGGTGTCTCCCCTTACAAAAAGGCCGCAAGCTCCCAAGAATCTCCCAGCCTCCCAGGGTTTGTGTAGGGTGTACGTTTACAAGGTCTGGAGCTTAGAGCATAGGGGTTTAGAGTTCAGAGGGATTAGAATTTGGGGTGGGGGGGGGGTAAGGCTCACGGGTAGGTTGGGTAGGTATGACTGGGGTGATGCTGCTGCAACAGTTTAGGATGTAGGGTGTAGGGTCTAGTATTACTGGGGTTGTATTACTTGAAAGCAGGGCTGCCATAACGTAGATCAACCCCGATGTGATTGAACGATCTAGCAAAACTCATTTTGGGATCCAAGTATTCAGTAGGCAAGATCCTCTACCTCCTCCACCCCCCCCCCCCCCCCCTGAAAAAAAACAAACGAAACCCGAAGCCCCAGACCCAAAACCCCCTACAACCCCCTAAACCCTAAACCCTAAACTCCTAAACCCCCAAACCCAAGTCCCCCAGAAAACGGCCCAGGCGCATGTCGGGCATTGGCGGCCTTCGTTGCGGTGCCTGAGCTTAATGGGCTTAGAGTTACCTAGATCACAAAGGACCCCTAAACCCTAAACCCTACACCCTAAACCCTAAACCCTAAACCCTAAACCCTAAACTGCACCCTCCAAGAGTACACGCTACACAAAACGCCCGCCGAGCCACTTTAGGTCTCGGAACTTTGTCGCTGCCCGTCGCACCTCGCTTGAGTGTAGGGTTTAAGGTTTAGGGTTTAGGGTTTGGGGTTTTAGGGTTTAAGGTTTACCCTAGGACTCCAAGTATATAAAGTAGTTCATGGTTGGGATAGTATGAAAAATTACATTTCCATTCCCGTATGGAGTTTAAGTACCCTGAAACATGTAAAATGTTACCCACCACAAAGTAACGACCCCTAAACCCTACTTGGAGGTTCATGGTTGCACTTTGTAACCCAATTATAACTGTACTTATACCCCAATTGTAACCCGATTGGGGTACTTAAGGGCCTTACACGTGGGTTCTCACTACACTTATATTGGGTTCCTAAGTACCCCGAACGTCCAAGTAGGGGTCCAAACATAAAACCATGCCTACATTGGGGTCGAAGGTCTGTAAATCATAGCTACTTTGGGGCTATTTGGAGCCGTAGGGTTAAGGCTTTAGGGTAGCTAGTCGGTTGTGTATCTTGGCTGTGGCGATTCATAGTCGCATCTTACCGTACAGCCCTGTAGGGAGTCGTCAAGAGTCTCGTGCCTAAACAGAATCCGGCTCAATTTAAGCACTGGACTCACTCATGCTCACCAAAAACCCGCAAGGGAGTACAGCAAATGTCTCCAACACCGTCAGACCAGGAACTTGGCAGTCTTTGAACTCACATGAGGGCTTACGATAATTAGGGACCGCCTTCTGATTACGAGGGAATCCTACTATTTGGGGGTAAACCCCCACATGCAACATGCACAGGCTGGCAGACATCAAGGTGGCGAAGCCCTGTAAACTCCCCAAACCTTCTTCGGCGGCCTTGTGCCTTAGGCTTTGGGGATTTGGGGGAGTTGGGGCTTTCAGGGTTGAGGGGTTGCGAACCCCAAGCCCAAAATCGAAAAAAGCATTTAGCCCTAAACCCTAAAACCTAAACCCCAAACCATATTCCCAAAACCCCAAAACCCCAAAACCCCAAAACCCCAAAACCCCAAAACCCCAAAACCCCAAAACCCCAAAACCCCAAAACCCAAAACCCTAAACCTGACACGGAGGTCTCTGAGGCCGTGCACCGTTGTGGACCCTTCCGCGGTCCAGGGCATCCTAGGAATCAGTGCAGGAGTTTTCTAGGGCCTTCTCGCGGGTTTAGGGTTTAGGGTTTCGGGGGGTTTAGGGTTTAGGGGCTAAGCGTCTCGGGTTTAGGCGCTTAGGATATAGGGTTTAGGCTATAGAGTTTAGGTTTTAGGGGTTAGCGGGTGAAGGGCCTGGGTGGCTTCCAGGATTTGTAAGGGGCTTAGGGCTTTCAAGTATTGGGGGGTGGGGGGAAGTAAGGGTTAGGGCTCGGGCTAGGGGTTGGGGCCTGAGAGTTCCAGGCTTCTCCGGGGTCTGGGGGGGTTACCATGAACCAGAAATCCCAACCCCGAGCCCCAAGACCTGTGGACCCAAAACCCTCAATACCCGACTTATGGGAAATTCGAGATGGGCGTTTCTCAGCGTACCGTGGGGCTGAAAGAGCTTGGGAGGGGGTTGCTGTGTGCGAAATGGGGTTGTAATTGCTGGAGCCCAAGCCTCCCCAAAGCCCGCAACCACCAAAACCGGATGGTTTTGCCTGCAAGTCATCAGCGTGACCTTCTTCCCTGGCACGCGAATACCTGCCAAGCTTGAGGCTCTTGCTGAACAGGTTCCAGAAGAAAGCATCGGGTCGTATGTCGCCGTGAAGGATCTTCAAACGGTGCATCTGGGCAAGTGCCATGGTGTTCTGCACGCACAGGGCGCGAAGCGAGTCTGCGTGAGAGCACCATTTTCCTTGACATGGTCCCCGAGGCGTCCCTGGCCGCCGCCGCAGTGCAAAGCTCAGCGTGCACCGCCCGGTCGGCACCACTCAGGGCGGCTCAGTTCGGCACCCCGCCACGCCGTGGACACGTCGGGGGTCTTGAAGCCGTGAAGCCCTCCCACCTGAAGCCTCAATTCAGCTCCTAACCCCCGAAGCCCCTGAACCCCAAACCCTGAACCCTAACCCCTACCCCAAATCCCTAAACTCTGAGCTCTAAACTATAAGTCCTAAACTCTGAGGAACCGCCGCCCTTGTCCGAGGCTGGTACCCAATTCCGCTCGACGCGATCGCACTCGTCCAGAAGGGTTTGGATGTCATCCTGGACCACAACCTAAAGCCCATAAACTCCAAACCCTGTAAACTCCAAACCCTATAAACCCTAAACCCGAAACCCGAACTCTTAGCCCTAAACTCTATACACCCCGCTGCACCCCTAAACCTTGAACATGAGCACCTAAAAAACTCCCCTAACACCTTGAAAATAAACCCTAGAACCCCCCCCCCCCCCCCCAAAAAAAAAAAAAAAAAAAGGGTTGGAGGGCAGGTGGCTCAGGGCTTCGCGTTCTGAATCCGAAACCTTCGGGGCCTTCGGAGACCCGAAGGGCTTGCTTGGAGGCTCATGCGCCCTTAGAACTGAGGTTTAGGTCTTTAGCGGGTTTAGGGTTTAGGGTTTTGGGTTTAGGAAACCCTAAACCCTACTAAACCCTGAGCTCCAAGCCAGAGGTAACCCTAAATCCTGAACAGAATTGCACGTCGCTCCGCATCATGTGCTGTCTGCATGGCGTCCAACCTCCCGGACCCAAGAGTAGACCTAAACCCTACCCCCCAGACCCCAAACCCAAAACCCCAGTCAGGAGGCTTGAGGGTGATAAAGAGATCTTGCAATGCTACATTTGTGCTCGCCCCCGGGGCTGGTTGCAAAAGGGACCTCATTTAGAGAGCATCCTAAACCCTAAACCCTAAACCCTAAACCCTAAAACCTAAACCCTAAACCCTAAACCCTAAACCCTAAACCCTAAACCCTAAACCCTCAATGGGCAAGCCGACCCTCCGAAGGTTCGACATTTGGACAGGCTTTGGTCTCGGGTTTCGGGTTTCGGGTTTAGGGTTTGCGGTTTAGGGTTTACGGTTTACGGATTAGGGCTTACGGTTTAGGGTTCAGGGTTTAGGGGTTAGTGAACAGTAACCGCAAACCTGTCAACTACTAAATCAGCCATAGGCCCTAAGCCCTCAAACCCTACAATCCCTGCAACCTTTAAACCAAGAACCCCCAAACCCGAAACCCCAAACCCTAAACCCTAAACCTTAAACCCTAAATCTTAGACCCTAAACCCTAAACCCTAAACCCTAAACCCTAAACCCTAAACCCTAAACCCTAACCCCGTTCGGGGCTGCTGGGGGGCCGCTCCCTGGGCCTCGGCGCTCCTGGTGCCTACGAAGCGACGCGACAGCGGAGCCTGCGTGTTTAAGGCCGGGGTGGTGGGTTTAGGGTTTAGGGTTTAGGGTTTAGGGTGTAGGGTGTAGGGTGTAGGGTGTAGGGTTTAGGGTTTAGGGTTTAGGGTTTAGGGTTTAGGGAACATGGGAGGTTGAGGGCTGAGGGTGTAGAGCTTTCAATCAGGGCTTAGCAGCTTGGGGCCTAGGGGCTTGTGGGTTTCGCCCCAAGCGAAGGCCAGTTTCAGGACGGGGCGTCCAGGCAGGGTACCTTATATGAAGCAGGGTATGTATTTCTGTTTTTGGTGAGTGTAAAAAGGTTTCTTTTTCTATTTTGGTGAGTGTATGTGTTGGGTGTCCTTTTGGGGATACAAGGAATGTAGACCCGACCTTATATCACGCAGCTAGGGTGTACATGAGGGTGCTACAGGAGCCTCTGGGAGGAAACCTCACCCTAAACCCTAAACCCTAAACCCTAAACCCTAAACCAGAGGTGGGGATCCCTATAGGCCCCGGAAAAGAACCGACGCCCGCCAGCCTCACCCTGAAAGACCGGCGCAATCCAAGCCGAAAGCAAACTTGCTCTTTCACACAAGGCTTCTAAGGGTTCAGTGTTTGCGGGTTTAGGGATACTGGTTTAGGGTTTAGGGTTTAGCGTTTCTGGATTTTAGTGGTTCCGTGACTTGACATTTCGGATCGGGAAAGAGAACCCTTAAACCCTCACCCCCAACTACTTTTTTTTGAGGGAGCCCTGTTTTGGGTGATGCCTCCTTTATTAGAGAACCCTGGACCCTGAACCAAAAAAGGGAAAAAGGTACCACTGGGCGACCAAGATACCCTAAACGCTAAACCCCAAACCCTAAACCCCAAACCCCAAACGCTCTAAGCCCAGCCTCTGGTCCACGACGGAACCGGGAACGCGCCATGCCATCGCGGCGCGCGTCGGATCCACTCCGCTCCGCTGTCTTGTGGAGTTGATGTATGCGTGGGCTTCGGGAGACTAGGGTCTATAGGGTTTAGGGTACGTAGAGTCCATGGTTGAGGGTCTAGGATGGAAAAGGGTTACGCTGGACTATTCCCCACAAAAACCCGAAGAAACCATGGGCTACTCCAGAAGTTCAAGGCAGGCTGTGAAGCAGCCCAGGTTGCAGGAGCCGAACTTGGGGTTTAGGGTTCTTAGGGTTTTGAGGGTTTAGGGTTCTTCGGATTTTGGGGGTTTTAGGGTTCTTAGGGTTTTGAGGGTTTAGGGATTTGCCTGACGGTGTGAGGCAAGTTTTGGACAGCTGGTGGATGATGATAACTGTCAAGCTTGAGAGCAGCATGGATTACAAGCCTTGCTTCTTTCCTGCATGGTCCAGCTCTTGCGGCAGTAGCTTTCTCACCCTGAAAGCCCAATCCCTGCACACTAAACTTCCCTTTAGCCCGCAACCCTGAAACCCCAAACTCTTCTTGAGCCCTAAGCCTTAAACCCTCTAGGCTTCTAAACCCTAAACACTAAACCCGTCAGCACCAAGCCCTAAACCCTGAAGCCTGACCTTGGCCAGGGGGGTTAGGGGGCTTAGGGCTTGCATGGGCACCTGCATTAAGACGCCATCTTGCCTCTTTCCCGAGCACATGTCTGAAATGCAGCTCGGCATTCACAGGCTTTCTGCTTGGAAGGTAACCTACGACACACAAATCCTGAACAACCCCCCCCCCCCCCCCCAAAAAAAAAAAAGAAACAAACCCTAATATCCATCTAACCTACACCGTCAGTACGCCTTAGAATGGAAGTTGGAAACCGAAGCCCTGTAAACCCCTCCGTAAACCCTAAACCCTAAACCCTAAACCCTAAACCCTAAACCCTAAACCCGAAATCTTATAAAATGAGCCCAAGGTTACTCCTGTGGCCGCGGCGTCTGCTGACTTGGCTGCGGCTTCCATCAGCCTTCCGGTCTTCAGGAGGGCGTGCTAGCTTGCATTGGCTAGGGGGGTAGAAGGAGACCCCTAGAAGGGACCCTTCTTCTTACTCCCCTATAGGACCCGTATCTTATTCCCTATATACCTGATAAATGACCTCCTTGGTCCCTTGAAGTGGCCTTCTTTCAACTTTCAGGAGCATTTCCCGATACAAGGTCCTCTCAAACCCCCTCAGATTCTGATGGGAAACGTTCCCAGTTGGACCTACCTAAGTATAGTTCTGGAGGCAAAGGGGAATCCACCCATTTCGGGTTTAGAGCTTAGGGCTTAGGGTAGATCCCCTAGACCCTAAACCCTAAACCCTAAACCCTGAGTCCTACACCGCGTTTCTTTGCTGGAGCGGGCGGCCCTTTCGCTGACTGGTCTATGGGGTAGTACCAAAGCCGAAAGCCCGAAACCCCAACACCCTAAGCCCTAAAGCCCTGAAGCCCTGTTACCCGAACACCCTAACACCCTAAGGGACCAAACCCCACAGCCCTAAAAGCCCAGACCTCGAACGCCCTAACCCTAAACCCTAAACCCTAAACCCTAAACCCTAAACCCTAAACCCTAAACCCTAAACCCTAAACCCTAAGCATATACCCTGAAAGAGCACTCACACCCCCAAGTCCCAGGCTTGCCATACGTTTGCATGTTTGGGGCGACCAGGTGCCTTGCAAAGGGGTTTAGGGTTTTGGGTTTAGGGCTAGGGTTTAGGGTTTAGGGGTGTTGGCAGGGCTCGGGACCTCTAAGCCAAGGGGTCCAGGGCTTTTGGGCGAAGGTAAATAGGGCTTAAGGGGGGGGGGGGTGGGTGGGATGGTATGGGTTTGGGGTTTCGGATTTAGGGGTTTAAGAAGTGCTAGAGTATTGGGCGCGGACCTTAGAACCTTAAACGCCCAACCCCCAAGCCGTACACCCAAAAGCCCCAGGCGCGAAAGCCAAACGCTCGTCAGCATGGACGGTCCGCAACTAAGGAGCCTACTTTCTTTCGAATAGAGCAGTTTGTTGTGTTCATGGTTCTTGTAGACTTGTTATTTTTACTTCTTGCATGTCGGATTTTTTCGCGGGCTTTAGAGATGGGGGATGGGCTCGGCAGCCAGGCTCCGCCGGGCTCAGCACAAGTTTGCGAGATTATGTAGTCATAAAATTCGGGATGTTCCCCCTTATGCTAACAGTCCTTCATGAGGATTATGCTTGGGGGTACTCTAATCCCACTTAAAGGACTGTTAGTATCAGGGGGACCATCCCAACCCTAATGCCTCCCAGCAACTTTGTCCGTTGGGTCGCAGCATTGATACAGGCTGAGAGGAAGTAATGGGCTTCACCCTAAACCCTAAACCCTGAACCCTAAACACTAAAGGTGTACATTGGGACTAGCTGGGAGCTTAAATCCCTGGTTCTTCGTGGGGAACGAGGGAATTCGGGCCCTGTATATACCCGTTTAAGGGAATTATGTATGGCCCCCATTCCCTCATTCCCTACAAGGAACCAGCCAGTTAAGGACCGTGGCTTTTGAGGAATGGGAGGGTTTAGGGTTTCGGGTAGTTTTCGGGCGTAAGCCAGTTTAGGGCTTAGCAGGGCTTGGGGGGGGGGGCAGTTTCTAAGCTATGCCTGAGCCCTATCCCTAAACCATTTAGGTGACATCTTTTTTCGGATTCCGACTTCAAAAGGTACCCATAAGAGAATAAGAGGGGACCCTAGGCAATGTTCAGCAAAGGCAAAGCACAAAGGTGCTTTACCTCACAGCAAGTAGCATCTGGGGTCTAGGGTTTTGTGGGGCCGGATTAAGGGTTATTTAGGGTTCAGGGTGCACTGGACCTCTACTAGATCTCTAAACGCGAGCAAGCGAGAATCCTCCTAAGCTTCTACCATGGTTTAGGGTTTAGGGGAAGGGCTTGCAATGCTGTAGGCAGTGATGTAGGTATGCCTAGGAGACAAGCAAGGTACTTTTTTTTGTCTTTGGTGGCTTAGTCAGATGTAGAAGAAGGGAGCCTAAGCCTCAAGAGGAGAAAGTACCTGGAAGAACAGCAGGGTATTGCTCTGCTTACTTAGGCTTCTGAGGGTTTAAGGTTTTAGGGTTTAGGGTTTAAGCCTTAAAAGGGGAATAAGCGCATGTCTGGGCATCCTGGCCTAGGCTTAGGGGTTAGGGTTGAGGACTCAACCATCCCCGGAAAGTCTTCACAACCAGGCTTCTAGATCTACCAAAAAAATAGGAGGGAAGATCAGAGCCCTTAACCCTAAACTCTCAATCGCCCATAGGTACCCAGAATAAGCCTAAACCCTACACCCCAAACCCTAAACACTCAGCCCTAAACCCTAAACCCTAGACCCAAAACCCAAAAACTTAACCCTGGGGCTTCGGAGAGTTTAGGGTTCAGGGAGGGCTCGCGTCGCGCACCTCTCCATGTCCCGGAAGATAAATTTGGCGCCATGGGCATCACCGGCCTCACTAAGGGTTTAGGGTTTAGGGTTTAAACCCTAAACCCTAAACCCTAAACCCTAAACACCAAAACCCTAAACCCTAAATCCTAAACAGTCAGGGGTTTCGGGTCGCCAAAAGGCTTAGTTGTCCAGTAGCCAACCTTTGGGATTGTATAGGATATATACTAACCCAAAAAGGTTAAAGGTTACCTACTCTGCTACTAAGAAGGGGGTGTAGGGTTCCTCCAGGTTTAGGGTTTAGGGTGTAGGGTTTCGGGTTTAGGGTTTACGGCCCTAAACCCTACACCCCAACCCCTAAACTCTTAAACCCCCAAAACCCAAGACCCCCTGAAACCCTAAGATTTCATGGGGCATATCGGGCGGATAGAGCTTGCTGACCCTTCATGAAGGGGATTTGCTGGAAGAATTTCAGGACCCTAGCATCCTCAAGCAAAAAAACGAATGACCTCAACGATGACGTGCCAGAGATGTGTCTCGTTCTTTTCGGCCGAGTCCACATGAGAACCGGATTCGAGCAACAACCGAACTGTCCTAAACCCGAAACCCTAAATCCTAAACCCTGAACCCTAAACCCCCTTTCCCGGGAACTCTAAGCCCTAAACCAAGGGAGCACCAACAAAACAAGCAAACGTGGTTCTTGAAGGCGAGCCGCATTGGCGAAGGCCTTGAGCAACGTGTTCCACACCTGGATGGTCATCTGGGGTTTACGGCTTAGGGATGGGGGTTTAGGGTTTAGGGTTTAGGGATGGGGGCTGTTCTCAACTGGGGTCTAGGCTTTTGGAGTTTAGCATCAATGGGAGGCTCGTTGCACCTCCCCGCAGGCATGCAGGCACACAGGCACGTATGCACGAGGCACGCAGGCACGCAGGCCCAGTCACATATACACACACACACATGGCATACCAGGTCGAAGCCTGTTGTCAGACTGGATGCTCTATCCAAACGGAATGCATTCGGAATCTCCCATCGTCCCTTCGGATGTAACTTTGAAGCTCTTTGCTGTGAGGTAATTAGCCATGACGAGATTCTTTGCTAGCGAGAAGACATCACTTAGAACCACCATGACATCTCAAATTTCAAATTGGACCTGCAGGTACGCGGAGTGGCCAATTCCAGTATCCCGTCTCGCTGACTAGCTTTGTCAGACCAGATCAGCAGCACGACGCCTGCTCCCCCTGCTTGAAATCAAACTATTTCAGACCAGCTATGAGTAGCTCTTGGCAACGGAGGTTACGCACACACACACACAATTGTGCTCCCACGTTTGGGGTTTGGGGTTCTTTACACGCCCTCTGTATTATGACAGCTACTTTGGGGCAGGTAAAGAGTGTGTTTTTTTTGTGCAGACAGAAATCTCGAGTGGCTGGGGCGCCCAAACCACCTAACACCCTAACCCTACAAACCCTACACCCGATGGGGCGGAGAGGCTGACCCTTTGGATAGCTAGAAGTATACTTGCTCCTCAGTTCGTGCATTGCAGTTCGAATTGCAAGCAGGGAACCATCTGAAACATCAGCAGTCCTCAGCGCCAAATCCTACTTGGAGGTTCGTTCGGGGTCGGGTAGCTATGGTTCTATCGGTTACCACCTTCCTTGGGGGTTCAGACAACATGGGGTACCGTCGGAAGGGGCGCAGGTGGAGGAAGTCTTCCCACCTGCACGTCTAAATCCTAAACCCTAAACCCATAGATGTAGGGCCGCGTAAGCTGCGAGCCATGCGGTGAAGACGTCCTGGCGAAGTCGATGGAATCCCTTTGCAAACCGGGCCTCTAGATAAATTCAAACCACTTTTGAGAATACTCCAAAACGAAGTCCTTGCAAACATGGTGTTTTGTAGAGATCCCTAATGAACACGGCGCAACGAGGGGGTCGCGGCAGGGTCCTTGCAATCAACTTTTGCTGCAAGGAACAGCGGTCCCCAACAAGCCATGAAGCAGATCATTCAGAGAGGCATTTGGCACTCAATCCCCAAGGAACAGCACGTACTCTCAGTGCATTTCAGTTCTTTCTCCAGGTGCTAACATTGCTTTCGGAATCTTTCTCTGGTCGGGACGATACCTCTCGCAATTGACTTTTTGTATAAGGGCGATATCTGTGAGCGTAGTTTGAAGGCATCTGACCATAGTACCAGTATAACATTGTTTCCGGAAAATGTTCTCTGGTGATAAACTCAAACCACTTTTGAGAATAGTGTTTAGGGTTTAAGGCACGCTGCCAGTGCCAGGCTTGAGGGAGGCAGGGGTTCATCTTGGAAGGTCTACTTAGTAGTTCTGAGTATGGACATGGAAGAAAGAAAAATTTGGGATTGGTAGTAGCTAGACCTTAAGCCCGGCCAAGAAGACCCTAAAATTGGGAAAGCCAGAACACCGAAGTCACCAACAGCCCTGCCAAGAGATCCTGAAACACCCTGATACCATACCTTCCAAGGTTAGGGTTTAGGGATAGGTTGTAGGTTTTCGGGTTTAGGTTTTAGGGTTTAGGGCTGGGGTATAGGGGTGGTCTGAAGTGCAGCTTTTGAAGCCTGTCTTTGGGAAGGTTCAGGTTAGCGGCTTCGACTTTAGGCTTTGTCATGGTGCCATGAAAGCGGTTCGCTGAGCTTTGATGCCTTCATCATGATCATAAACCTAAACCCTAAACCGAAGAAATGCGATGCACGTCCCAACTTCCTAAACCCTCGGGCCTAGGCTTAGGGTGTAGGGCTTAGGGCGCGCGTCGTGTATCACCACCCCCCGGTTGCGCTCCACCCTCATCTTGACCTCTGTTTCCCTTGCTTTCTGATCGTGCTCATGTTTCTGTTCCAGGTCTACAGCTCTTAGGTACCAGTATAACCCCTTAAAGGGGTATATGGGGCGGATACAAGGTGCAGTGAACAGTGCTGCATAAGAAACGTCTAACCCTTGATGGGTGTACCCTCGATGTCTTAATCATCTTAATCGCAAAGCGCTCGTATTGTTGGAAACAAAATGGGGCCTAGCCATCTAAGAGTACGTTCGATTTATTTCTCTTAAATCCCACCCCTAAACCCTAAACCCTAAACGCTACACCTTAAGCCCTTTAAACCCTAAACCCCAAACCCCAAACCCGCGTGAGCCCCCGTTGAATCGCCGGCGACACCGTCGCGCCGCTTGCTCTTGTCCTGGAGCCTGGCAGCCGAGAACCAGGCCAGCGGTTCGATTTTTAGGGCTTGCTTCGGGTTTAGGGTTTAGGGTTTAGGGTTTAGGGTTTAGGGCTTAGGGCTTAGGGTTTAGGGTTTAGGGTTTAGGGGTTAGGGTTTCGGCTTGCTAGGGTTGCTCGGGTTTTCGGTCTTAGGGTTTCTAGGGCTTCGGGCCTATTATTAGGGCTCAAGGAGGTCCAGGGGTAGCCATAAGTCGTAGGGTTTAGGGTTTAGGGTTTAGGGTTTGGGGTTGGGTTTGGGGTTTGGGGTTTAGTGAGGGTTTAGGGTATGGGGGCCAGAGAGTAGGGCGTGTCAGGATTATCATCCCGCTTCATGGGGTAAGGAGCATCTTATCAAGTCTTCCGCAACATACACAACGTGCATTTTCCCAACAACCGGCTGGAGCCTCAGCCTTCTCGTACCACGAGTGCATGTAGTCTCTCTTTGTCTATCTTCCTCGCATCCAAGCCCAGCACAGCGGGGGGGCCATAGAGGCCGCACTCTACCTCTCTGTTTCCATGTCCTCTGAGCTGTCCGAGGTTTCGAGGTCCTTCCAAGGCTCGTAGAACTTCTCGTAGCATTTGTTCTTGCGCACTTTTCGCTTGTTCAGCGCGTGGAGCTTCGAGTAGATATTCTCCAGCTTCGTGGAGTGCTTGGCGAGGTGCTTCACCAAGTCCCGGGAGTAGTCCAGATGCGACGTGGCCAAATTCCGGAGCTTAGAGCTTAAAGGTTTAGGGTTTGCCATAAACTCTGCTAACTGTTGCCCACACTCCCTTGCTTCTCCCCAGGCCCTTCACCCCCCACCCCCCCCCACCCTCCTAAACCCTGGACCCTGGTTCTTAAGTGGAAAGTCCGGGTCTTCCCTTCCAAAGGACGCACGGTTGCTACGAACAGCTGCTTGGATGGCCTTAGAACCCTCTTGCAGAACATTCCTGAACTTGATCCTCTTAAACCAAATGAGGGAAAATACCCCTAAGGCCCAAACCCTAAACCCTAAACCCCAAACCCCAAACCCCTAAACCCTAAAGCCCTAAACCCTAAACCCTAACCCCTAACCCCTAAACCCTAAACCCTACGCCGGGGATGGAGTTAAGCTTCGGTGTGAGAGGCATTGGACACCAGGGGTGAGTCAGCCTGCAAACCTCGAAGATCCCCCAACAAACATTAAACCCTTGCGCTGGAAAGCCACAGCCCCAAAACCCAAATCCAACACCCAAATTAAACCCTTAACCCTGAACCCTTAGCCCTTAACCCTTGACCCTTAACCCTGAACCCTGAACCCTAAACCCTAAACCCTAAACCCTAAACCCTAAACCCTAAACCCTAAACCCTAAACCCTAAACTGAACCTTGCGCAGCCTCTCAAAGATGTCGCGGGCACTCTGGACGTTGCCGGCCTGCAGCCAGCTCTCCAAGTCCAATGTGGAAATGTGGCCATGTGCTGCTGTAGGGTTTAGGGTTAGGGTTTAGGGTTTAGGGTTTAGGGTTTAGGGGTTAGGGGTTAGGTTTTAGGGTCCGTATCCAGAATCACGCGCCCCCATAGCTCCTGAACACCCAACCCTAAACTAAAATCCAGCACCCCTTACTCTAAGGATCACAGACCTTGAATTGGGATCCTAACTCTGAACCGTAAACCCTAAACCCTAAACCCTAAACCCTAAACCCTAAACCCTAAACCCTAAACCCTAAACCCTAAACCCTAAACCCTAAATCCAATGGCACCTCTGCTGCTTGGTTCAGGGCCGTCAAGAGGGCTCCGTCCTGGCGAACACTTGAAGGAGTATGGGCAGCTACAGGGCACATTCAGGGTTCTAAGCAGCCCTCAGTCTCCACCTAGCTATACGTGTATATATATATATACCGATATACATCTTATAAATAGATGCGTATGTGTGTGTAAATATCAATGCAAAAACAACAAAAATACGTAAGTGCTAGATACACATAAGAAAAAGAATCGTACCGTTTATTTATGTATATTTGTTTGTTTAGAACTATTGCACGCTAAACCTTAAACTCTGATGCACGCATACAACTTGGTCGTACACTACCCATGACCCTCAACCTAGATTCTTCTGTTTCACGGCTCAGCCTGCAGGCGCATGCAGTGCACCCTACTTGGAGGTTCATGGTACTTATTCACCAATCATAACTGTACTTATAACCCACTTATAAGCCCCTTAAGTGCCCTAATATGGCTATAAGTACAGATATACGGACAGTTATACTTGGCTTAGAGTTAAGTACCACGAACATCCAAGTAGATGCCCTTTTTCTAAGAATCTGCGTTTTAAGATAAGGATCCCTCTACCCTCTACGACAGATCCTAGACTAAAATTCAATTCCCAAGCTAATCATGGAAGGTTTTCTGGTTTGTACGCCTTCGGGTATGCACGTGCCAAAACTTTAGGGTATATTATGGACATTCACCCCACACCCCCCCCCCCCCCGCGGGGTGCGATGCCAAACCCCAGATACACTCCCAGCAGCAGCCTCTGCGGGGACAGGTAGCCTCGTAGATGCTGCACCTGGCATGCGGGTGGAGGCTCAGGAACTTTCGTGACCCAGGTATTGGGGGGTGCACGAGAATAGGGGACCCCTGCAATAGACCCCCAAACAGTAGGATCCCCTTCTGATAGGGACCCCACTAAGGTACCCCCCAAAATGCGGAAACCCCATATAGGATCCCCTTGTCCTGCAGAATGGCTGGTGCATCCTTCATTTCGATTCTCGCATGCCAAACAAGTCCTTCTTGTAGAAGACGGGGGGGGGCTCTGCAGCTGTCACCTTGGGAGTAAACTCGACTCCAACCTTGGCCATCAGCTCGATTGTGGACGCTTGTTGGCGCCTGTTCTGGACCAACCGCTGAATGGGCACGGCGGTGAGGAGGCTTTGTCGAAGTGTGCCCAGCCAGACCTCCAGGTGCCCGAGTGAAGGTGGGCGAGCGCCAGCCTGAGACTAGAACAAACCTGCAGGAAGACCAAGTTTTGAGTGGGGCCCCGGGCCCCCAAAGCCCCCAGGATGATCGGGGGAAGATAAAAGGGTTTCGAGGGGCTGCTGAGGCGTGTTGAGGCTCATTTGGCCCCTTTGCTTTATCAGGAGTGTTGGCCTCCGCCCGCAAGACGGGAGCCTTCATAGTCAGGGGGCCCCTATGTTTGCTGGGGAAGCCAAACAAGAACACATTCACGGCTGATCTGGGACTAACCCTAGACTCTCAACCCTAAACCCCTTTAGCCCTAAACCCTGAGGCTCCTAAACTCGACACCCTAAACCCCCTATGAACCCCCACATCAGCAGCTCTTTGTTGGAAAAAAACCCCTTGGGGTACTACCCTTGGCTCCGACAATCCCGGGCGAGTTGGGATTTGGGGTTTAGAGTTTAGGGTTGGGAGCTTACGGTTTAGGGCTTGGGGGTTAGGGCGACAAATATGGAGGTATCCTGCTTGTAAGCCCTAGACTCGAATCTCTTGTGTAGGGTTTATTTTGAGGTTTCGGGTCCCCTCCCCCACACAAGTGTCTCGGAACCTAAACCCCGAACCCTTAAGGGTTCCAGCTTTCTGTAGGCGGGCGCAGGTTTTAGGGCCAGTGTGCAGCATGTCTCTCTGTATGTCTAAAGATGTGTCGGATGATTTTTGGGAATGAGTTATTTCAAGATGCAAGCTAACCTTCATCGACTGCCGAATATGGCCAGCAGACCTTGAACCAAACCCAAGACCTTACTAAAACTGCTTAGGGTTTAGGGTTTGGGGCTAGACCCCAAACCCACACCCAAAACCTGAACCCCTATACCCAAGACGACCCCCTTCCCCGCCCCTTCCCCCGAGCCGACGTTGGAGTCCGGCTCGGGAATCTCCAGCAACTCGCGTGCCGAGCGTCCGCGACAAGCCCTGCGAGTTTTGGGGTTCAGGGTTGGGCCCCCCTAAACCCTAAAAGAACCCTAAACCCTAAACTCTAAACCCTAAACCCCAAACCTCAAACCAGAAACCCTAAACCCTAAGGCCCTACACCCCAAACCCTACACCCCCTTTAGGGGCGTAAGGGCTTAAGGTGGAGCCCTTCAGAGGTGAAGAGGGTCCTAGGGCAGCCTTCCTTAGAACTAAAGGTTAGCCCATAAAAGGTTAAAGGTTACCTACTCTACCCAGAGACTCCAAAACCCCTTAATTAAGGAATATACCTTAAATCATATAGGAACCCTAATATGATTTAAGGTATATTCCTTAATTAAGGGGTTTTGGAGTCTCTGGGTACTACTAGGCTTCTCAGGGCCCACCTAAAAGCTCGGAGCCCTAGACCGCCTAAGTCCTGTTAGCTCTGATCCATGGGTTTGGGGTTTAGGGTTTAGGGTTTAGGGTTTAGGGTTTGGGGTTTGGGGTTTAGGGTTTAGAGCGTGAACTCAAAAGCCTGGAAGCTCTACCCCAAAACTACCCCAAATCATAGGCGTCCAAATGCCTGTTGAGGCTTTGCTTGGGAAGGGTCATAAGGAAACCTGGGGTAACCTAAGAATAGAAAAGAGGCTCGCATTTCAGACTAGCATGGTGCAGCAAAAACGGAACCTAACCCAAACCCTAAACCCTAAACCCTAAACCCGAAACCCGAAACCCTAAACCCTAAACCTATACCCGAAACCCTAAACCTCTTTACACTGGGGCCTCCAAGGACTTCCGGGCTGCCGTGGCCATGAAGACCCCTTCAACCTGATTTCCCCTACTGTGGAGTAGACCCTAGGAAAAAAGTTTAGGGTTTAGGGTTTAGGGTTTAGGGTATGTACTTTTTAGGTGTAAGAAGCTATGGAACCCAGAACCACGAAAAGTATTAAAGTGTAGTACTCCAAAAGCCAGTTTCCTCAGTCTTCTAATCTGGAATTACTCGAGCCCCCCCCCGCCCCCCCGATGGCCGCCAAATCAATCGACAATCCCGATGCCGGCCTTTGCGATCAGGAGCATTCCCTGCCACTGCAACCTGCAACAGGCACCCACGCACCCACGCACCCACCCACCCACCCACCCACCCACTCACTCACTCACTCACACACTCTCTGGTGCAGATGTTCGGGCAAAAAAGTCCTTGCCACTTAGCCCTACTTTCCAAAAGGCAGCTTTACAAATTGGCACTGGCAACCTGCAAGCGGGGATTGGAACTTGGCTGAGAAGCTGCACCGGAAGTAGCTTCAGATGAAGAAAACCACCTTTGGGACTCAATGAACCCTAAACGGTTTATTGCCCGTATGCCCTACTAGGGATTATCGTAATATAGGATGTATGATCACAACTTTCGGGTTCATCTGGTCCTTAAGGCAGTCCTGGTGACAATCAGGAACCGGACAGCCCCTTGCATCGTTCTGCAAATCTGCTCTTCACATTTCGGCATTTTACAGACGCCAACAAATGTCAATCCTAAACCCGAAGCCTTAGGCCTTCAAAAAGCCAAACTCCGACGCTAAACACGAAACCTTGCAATTCCCACAACTGAAGGCCTGGACAGGGCTCCCTCTGCATCCAGCGGCTTGTGCTCCGCCCATCATGCTCTCAATCTGCGCCATACCCTCAAAGAGACCCTTTACGGGCGAGGGGCAGGGCTTAGGGTTCAGGGTACAGGGCTTGGGCCTTACCCTATCAGTTGGGTTCGGCCGGTCCACACTAACAGTCAAATAACGCCGTGGCCTTATAACACACAGGCCAAAAATAGCACCAGGAATCCAGTCAATTTTAGCATTTACCGGGTGCTTATTTTTGTGGGTCTGCTGGTGGTGACTGTTAGTCACATAGCAGCAGAAATAGCACAAACAATAGCACAAAAAATAGCACCAGAAATAGCGCCAGGAATAGCACAAAAAATAGCACCAGAAATAGCACAAACAATAGCACCAGAAATAGCACCAGGAATCCCAGTCAATTTTATCAGCTTAGCATTTACCGGGTGCTGTTTTTTGTGGGTCTGCTGATGGTGATTGTTAGTCACATAGCACCAGCAACAGCACCAGAAATAGCACAAACAATAGCACAAAAAATGGCACCAGAAATAGCAAAACAATAGCACAAAAAATAGCACCAGGAATAGCACAAAAAAATGCACCAGAAATAGCACCAGAAATAGCACCAGAAATAGCACCAGGAATAGCACCAGGAATAGCAGGAATCTCAGTCAGTTTTTTGGCATTTACCGGGTGCTTTTATTTGTGGGTCTGCTGGTGGTGACTGTTAGTGTGGACCGGCCGAACCCAACCTATCAGTGTACCCTGAGGCTTTGTTTTTACTGGGATAGGATCTTGGGCTTAAGGTTTGCTGTAGAAGAGCTCCTAACGGATTTTTTTCGGGGCAGATTTAGGGCGTAAAATTACCCTACGAGGGTTCAAAAGCATAGACCCTAAACCGCCGTCCAGCGTTGAGGATTTTGGCGTGTAAGGGTTTAGGGCTTGTCGGGGCTTGTTGCTTTGGGCTGGGTACTCTGCAAACAACTAGTCATCCTTTCGAGCACAAGCGGAAGAAATTGTTGGCAAATTGCAGCACAGAAGCTGCCACCTTGTATCGGCCGAGGCTGACAATTGAGCAGCATACGCACACACACACATGACAAACATCGCCCCAAACTCTACACCTCGCTATGAATATCTTTTTGCCACTCAGAGGAAGCGCATGAAGGTTGTTCGCCTACGTCGGCCACTGACGTGCTTTGGTAGCGGCTCCTGGCGGTGGGGTTTAGGGCTTAGGGTTTAGGGTTTAGGGCTTAGGGTTTAGGGCTGGAGCCCAAAAAGGCGAACACTCCAACTCCCGGAGTCCTGGAGCCTGGCTCTGCTTTTTGTTTGAGCATTACATGGCATGATGTGACGCTCCTGTGCCGTACGTTGAAGTAAAGTCTGCTACAACGCAGAGGTTACTGCATGCAGACATAGACAAATACATGCACGAAGAGACGGAGAGACGGAGGGAGGGAGGGAGGGAGGGAGGGAGGGAGGGAGGGAGGGAGGGAGAGAGAGAGAGGTGAGTGAGGCGAGAGAGGTGCGTGGTGTGAGTGAGGCAAGTGATATGATATGTATATTTATGTACATACAAGGCCTCATTGTCTTGAACAACAAAAGCAAAGAGGCTCAAGGAATCACATACCCCTCCTTGAAGCTGCATAAGCCTTCAAATCAAACAAATCCTCTAAACCTGACCCGAAACCCTAAACCCTAAACCCTAAACCCTAAACCCTAAACCCTATCAATCCGTAAATGGAAACCCTGAGAGCAGGCCTGGCGTTGAGTGGCTAGGCAGGTTGCAATGAGCGACCTGGAAGGCCAGACCCCCCTTAGAACTTTAAAAAAAAGCCATATTTTGTTGAACATCTCTTGGGTTTGATATGAATAAAAATAACAAAATGATTCCTAAGTGGAGGTTTGGTTTTCTCCTCGTTGTGAGGGCTTAGCACTTCAGTCGCGGGAGATCCAGGCTTGGGTTTTGGGGTTTGGAGTGTGGGGTTTCGGGTTTTGGCACAGTGCACCATCAAGCAGAAGGATTCTATACTCCCCTTAGAACCTTAATAGAAACAATATGTTTAATATCCTCTTGTGTTTTTACACAAGCAAACAAAAAATCATTTGCGAGCATGCTGTCCCGGACGGATCGGCGTGAGTCACAAACTTCAGCCCGGTCCAAAACTCGAACTCAGGTCGGTGCGCTCCTCCCACACAGGCCTGTGGGAAACAAAGCGGAGTTGTTGGACCCTAAACTGCCCTAAGCACTAACCCCTAAACCCTAAACCCCAGGGCCACTTTTTCAGGGCTGGCTTGCTATGCCTTGCAGGGTCAGGCACCGGACGGCTTGGGGCCCCAGGGTACTGAAGCTTATGCTCCGCTTAAACCCTATGAGGGGGGGAATTTGAAATATCTCAAGGGCCTACCTGGGTTGGGGTTCAGGGTTCCGATCAGGGTTTAGGGTAACGTGCTCCCAGGACTCAGCACGGGAAGTTGTCCAAAATCGGGCCCGTTTTGAGGTATCTAGTGCAATATGGACCAACCCAAAAGCCACATTTGAGAGAACTGCTCTCTTTCAACCAGAACAGCCAGCCCGAGCCAATGCACGAAACGTAAGCTTCGCTGCACTTAGCCAGACAAGAGGAGCTGCCTTACACCGATGGTTTCCCCTAAACTCTTAAACCGTATAAACCGTGTGAAAAAATAAGAAGCGCCATGAAAGCTGCAAACCAAGAGGGCTCCCTCTATATGGCGGCAGTATTCCCAAGGACTCGCTAAGACCTACCTCCCTAGGTAGGAGGTCTGAAGAACGAGCCCTAACCTTGGGCCCCCTGTGTATGCACTATACATAATAAGGGCCCATACTTCGGACCCCTTTAAGCCCTTTTCAACAAGGGTAAGGGACCACACCAAGAGCCCATGGTTCCAACCTTAGATTTGAGGACTTACATGTCGAAGGGCTTTGGGCTTCGGGCTCCTTTTGCTGGGGGGGGGGGGCTTGAAAGAAATGGGTTTAGGGTTTAGGGTTTAGGGTTTAGGGTTAGGGTTTAACGGAACGGGAGTGCGTGATCTCGACACGTGCCCCGGCCACCCACAACCCCAAACCAGCCCCAAAGCCTTATAACAGGGTCACGCCTGCCTTCCCGTCCGAAAGGGCCTACACCCTAGCGGTTTAGGGCTTAGGGCTTAGGGCTTAGGGCTTAGGGTTTAGCTAGGGCTTGGGCCTAAACCCCTGAACCCTAAACCCCAGCACCTCAGTCGTCTCCTCCACTTCCGGCTCCAGACCTTTGACAAATCCAAGGGCTTCGAGAAGGATCGTTGCGGGGGAGGGCCTAGGGCCTAGGTGGTTTCGGGTTCAGGGGGTTAAGGGGGTTAAGGGGTTTAGGGTGTAAAGGGTTGAGATTGGTCAAGTTTTTCGGGTTTAGGAGCTAGGGTTTCGGTTTGAGGTGAGGAAAGCCGCACGAACTCGCATGCTCCGCAGCGGAAGTGTGAACGGAAGCATTGAGAAGAAGTGTTCTGCACCGAGCACCCAAAGCAACGATAACTCGGATGACGCCTGAATTCCGTCTAAACAGTATAAACCCCCAAACCTTAAGCCCTTGGAGCCTTGAGGATTAAGCACATCAGGGTCTCAGAGGCCCCGAAGCCTAAGACCCCATGGGTCTAGGGTCTAGGGTTGGGATGCTCCCCCTTACGCTAACAGGTCTTAAGCGGGATTATAGTAACCACATATTCTGATCCCTCTTAAGGACTGTCCGCATGAGGGGGAACATCCCAAGTTTAGGGTTTATAAGGGTCAGGGACAACGCCTGCAACCCTAAACCCTAAACCTAAACCCTAAACCCCAAACCCTAAACCCCAAACCCCAAACCCTAAACCCTAAACCCTAAACCCTGCACCCTAAACCCTAAACCCTAAACCCTAAACGCCTGCCGGGGGAAGGATCTTGTACTCGTAGGGCCACCTGCCACAGGCCTCGAGACAAAATGCGCATCGGTCTGGGTTTGAGGTTTGGGGTTTGGGGTTTGGGGCTTGGGGTTTAGGGTTCAGGGTTTGGGGTTTGGGGTTTAGGGTTAAGAATCCTCAAACCCTAAACCCTAAACCCCTAAACCGAGTTTAGGAATACTCGGGGCTAGAGCTCATATCTAGTGGGCGAAGACTCTTGAATGTTCAGTGTGGCTGTGTATGCTGTGTCCAACATCAGTCAACTGCAGAATGGTACAGGTCTAAGTCAGGACCCAACATGTTGGTTTCTTCAAAGCTCAAAGATCTGTTCACAAATTACATTAACAATTAACTTATTGTGAGCTCCGCAGAAATTCCATCAGCTCTTAAGGAATATATGGCTTCATCAAAAAGGGATGAACACATGCCTTCATCGGGTACGGAAGCCCCACGCTCATCAATATTATATAGGGGCCTGAATAATTAGAATGGGGTTTTGGGGGTCACTATAGTACAATTACAAAGGGACCCTAAACCCTACCCTAA